TGTAATGCCCTGAGCCAGATGGTTTTCATCTTGTTTTTTAAAGAATAAAGGAACAAGCTAACAAGGGGACAGCTACTTTTGTTAGCTTCTTGGCCTCTCTCATGGCTTTGGATCCCCAGGGTTCCAGCCACACAAGAGAAAGAATACAGAAAAACATAAACACTTAAAGAAATATAACTAGGGGGCTGGCAACACGCTGCTTTCAAAGAGTTGAGCGCCCTGTTCAGCGCTTTATTTATCACTGCCCACGTTCTTGGGATGGTAAGTGGACATGGACACAAAGGGCGGGAGGGGGGGCAGACAACACTTGCAATTTACTCAATTACAGAGGAATGCAGCAATGCGGCGGCGGGGTGACAGATTCCTATTAGCACTAGTGCTGAAAGAGCCCAGTGGCCTTTCCGCCACAAGGCAGCATTCCCATTGTAGCTTAGACTCCGGCACAACCTGCCTTGGCTAGCTTTTTAACATGCATTAAGTGTCACAGAGAAATGGAAATTATTTTTTTCTTGTTGTTTGAGAACAAGAGAGAAAATAATTAAACTGAAAGAATAATCTTAAAAGTAAGCCTAAGGATGTACATCAAGCAATTTCAGGAGGGTTTTCAACCAGCAACTCCTTACTAGCAAGTAACAATAACGTTAAAGGTGAAGTACCTGGGATAACTTCATAGACATGGTACATCCTGCCTTGGTCAGCTCTCCAGCTAAAGGCAAATTCAAACTGCAGCATCTTCCCCAGAGGGAAGGAGGAAGGGAGCTGAAGGACCCTCACTCCCTCCTCATCATACAACCTTCCTCACCAGCCGAAAAGAGGGCTTTAACTTTTCATAGCAGAAATACTTCCGGAGAGGAAAATTATGCAGTGGGATGAGGCTACCAGCTGGAAGTAAATGGTTGATGGTTGCTACTTTTTATCCTTCCTTTGCTCTATCTTCTATAACTGCTTTCCGTTTCTTATGGTTTGCTTGAATATTTGCTTTAAAATCTTAAGATCAGACTGTGCCTATTTTAACTTTGAAATAGCACCTAGAGCATGTTTTAGGTGCTACTTGTAATTTTACAAAACTATCTAAAATCTGTGAGACTGGACTGAGGTAATGCTCTGTGCCAAAATGGTAAGTGGGAAGATTCTTGAAAATGCTAAGGGGCCTGTTTGAATGGGATAACAGACAGGGAATTTTTTCCCCCGGACTTCCATCTGGAAGCTTATAAAAAGGCAGCAGAGTCCAATGTGAGGTTTGCAGGAGGTATGGTGCAGCAGCCTTGCTGCTGCCAGCATTTCCCCACAAGGCACCTTCACCCATAGACAAACCACGGTAGCAAAAGGCACTTCATTATTGCTAAACCAAAGAGAAGGGAGGGAGGGTTTTAAACAACCTGCATTGTGCCCGTCTTCTTTAAAAACCAGTGGGGTAATCAAGTTCAGGGCAGCCCCGGACAGCTGCCCTGTGACCTATTCATGTTGACCCCCACTATTCATCACTTTCCTTAGGACTATGAGGGCAAGCTCCTGGGGAGTGACCACCACAATAGACAGATACGAGCCAACAATAATACGGTTCCTGCAAAAAAAAACAGATGGCACTGCAATAAATTTACAAATCTGCATTCATGGCTCTGTTAAAAACACCCAGAAGCTAAAGGCTGGAGGGGCCCCCAGAGAGCTTCCCCTTCCCAGTTTCTAAAGGCCAGCTCTCTCCCCAAGACTATTGAGCTCATGTTCTTCATAAATGAAGAATGGAGACATAGCCCTTAAAATAACAAATGTCTGACCTAATCAATCTAGTGTTTGGGTCTAACACTAAATGATAGGCACTGAAAACTAATTATGTTTTTTGGCAAGGAAGTTGAATTAAAATGGAAACACACAGGTTAAAAAGGCACTGAAGCATTTGCAAGTCCCTCTGAAAGGGCGGCACACACACACACACTCTCACATGCAGGGCTTGAAACAGGAACCTGATTCAATAACTCATGCATTTATTTTTAAAATGAATCAGATTAGTCCCATGTGTGACCTGCCGGTCCATCTGTATGAGCTGGACTTAATGGGCACTCTTCTCACGCTTACTTCAGTTTGAAGTATGAGAGAGATAAATTTAGTTTAATTTTCAACAGATCAAGCTATCCATTTTCCAAATGGACCATCTGGATCAGCCTATTAAAATTAATTTATAACTTTGCAGAGTGAAAATTCGTTTGTTAGCTTAAATAAAGTTGCCAGAAACTTTTGCCACTTATTGTTTTTTCTGAAGTCTGTTTTTATACTATTTTCAGTTTACCCCCTCAAAATTTAATTTTGTCAGGTCAAGCAAACAACAAGAACTGAACATCTGCATTGTTACGTCAAAGCTTGCCATAGCTTAGATCTTTTCACTGGTCCAGCTAACAGTGTCAAGTTCATTGCCTTTTTGTCCTTCCTTTCCCAGGTGTCTCTCCTGCCTCGCTGCCCCTCACACACCTACAAGTGGCCATGCCTCCCACTTCCAGCATGCCAAGGACACAGTTCCACTTGTTGAGGCTTCTGAAGACACCCTTCTCCAAAAAACATTTTAATAAATAGAAGAATGGTATTTCACCTAGTAAGAGGTCCACAGCACTGAGCAACGGATGTCCTTCAGCCTCTGCTTATAACCTCAGATGCTTAAGTAACCATTACATCTCCTTATTACCTTTATTACCATTAATGGCTTCATCTGAATCTGATTTCTGCAACTGGAGTTGGAAAACTCCCCACTGGTTCTTGTCCATGACTAATAGAGGAGCAATCTGAGTTTCCAAAATGCTCAGATAACTTTAATTATATCTACTTAAAGAACCAAAATTTCTTCTACAAGAGGCACAAAATTGTGGTCAACCACTTCCTATGACCTAAAGAAGAGGGCATCTGCTTTAAACTACATTTTGCACTTGTCCAGGAGCACTGTTCTCAACACAAAAGGCCTCAGATAGCAAGCAGAAGACCAAAGGATTTTCATGCATCTGTCATTGTAAAGACTGGACAGAAAGATGGAAACTGATACAACATCTCAACAATATCCTGAAACACAACTAACCACCTTTGACATAAACAGCGTCCACGTGAGTTACTTCCAATATGAAATATTTGGACAGGTCAAGTAGTTTTTTAGGTGCATTCTTCTTATCTAGTCACCTTGGCTATGAAGAATTGCAGGCCTGAAGGAAAGCCAGCTTTCCCTGGACACTAAGAATACTTCTGAAGATTGAAATCTGTATAATGCTGTCCATGAATATTTGTTTCTCCCTTAATAATCATGCGGAAGGACTCAGTGTAATGAGAAGGCACACAAAATAGGTAACTCATGTTGTTTTTGATTTAACATCTCTTACTATGAACCTTTTATTGGAGAAGAGACACACCTTTTCTTGTTGAACCTGAAGGCTTCTCATCAGTAAGGTAATTCCAAGAGAAGGAAAAAAATAATTCTGGTGTGCTGGGGACCTTGTTGGCTATCCTGGGGATATACAGCAGGGACCTAGGAGCTCTGCCCTCTTCCTCTAGATCTTCTTGTTTGTTACTGAATGACAGAAACATTTTCAGTTTGGTGTAATGTATATAATCAATTCTACAAGGTAATCTTTCTCAGCAGTACCTAGGACCCCACTCATTATCCTAGCATACTGCCTCTTGTCTAAAAGCCTTACATGGACTATATCTCTTAGATGGACCTGTCTTAGCCACATACAGTCCTTCACATGATACCTACTCCCACAAAATCAAACTCCTAGCACAATACATTACAGAATCAAAGAATCATAGAATAGTTAGGGTTGGAAAGGACCTTAAGATCATCCAGTTCCAACCCCCCTGCCATGGGCAGGGACACTTCACACTAAATCATGTCACCCAAGGCTCTGTCCAGCCTGGCCTTGAACACTGCCAGGGATGGAGCATTTATTCAAAAAAGAAACCCCAAATCAGCAACAAAAAAAAAAACACCAAAACCAAACACCAAACAACCAAACCTGCCCCCCTCAAAACAACTCTCAGTTCTGAACACAAGCACACTATATATAAAAAAATACTACCTCTTCTTCTCCTACTACAGTTCTGACCCACAATTTCTCTTGGAAACAGCAGCAGTGGGGCAGTGTGGTACCACCCTATTCCTCTGCCTGAGACTGCTGCTCCTATGGCTGAAATGCAGAAGGAAGACTGCCAATTCCTCAGCTGTTGCAATGTGTGGCCTGGGGTATTCACTTAAGTCATGTTCCTCAATGGTTTTATTCTGATACACCAAGCAGCCACCTTGGGCAGCTGAAGCACAGACGTACTTTTGCTTCTGCTGCCTGAAGGTTGCAGTGGGGAGGAACAGCAAGGTGAATAAGGATTTGAAATCACTAAAGCTAACTTAAGTTCCCCAGAAATCACAAACTAGACTCCCTTTCTTGACCATAGGGATTGAAAAACTGATTCCTTTGAACTGGTAAGAAATTTGCTTTATTATATATAAAAGGCAAAGGGATTAAGTTTTATCAGACCACCCTTTCTCTTTCCTACTTATTAGTAATTTATACGAGTGTAGAAGAAACAAGAACAGGTCATTTTTCAGGTTATTAACCTGGACATCACCTCCAAGAATATTTACCTTCAAGGGCAATAAAAAGCTTACTTGTTGCAGAACACTTTGAGACTTTTGATCTGAAGCTAGGCAAAATATACTACAAACAAGACAGGAACAATTACAGAAGAAAAGGCTGAAGAGGTCTTGATGAACACCAAATGGAAAAAAGCAAAACTAGGGAGTCACAGTTGACTGCACCATACAGAAGCCCACATTTCTTTAGAAAGAGTCATCAAATTCTCCTGAAAGCTAAATCTCTGTGTCTGATTTTCCTGGGTACAATGTGAGTTGTTCAGACTACAAAGGAGAAAAGATTTCCATGTACGCAAGTCAGACTTCAGCTTCCAGAAGCATTTAAGGATTCAAATAGCTAGAAAGTTTTATTGCATTTTTAAAGAGACTGATCACATACCTGTCTAAGTGAATTCTTCTCGGGAATGATCTTCCTAGGGGGCTCATCATTATTACAGTCTTCTCTCTCAGAGGAATTCTGTGAAAGAAAGTAAGCTTTAATTCAGTTCTTATCCCTAATATCACTCTGCAAGGAGAAAAGAAACAGAATATTTGTACTACACAGGCTGTAGTATTTCATGTATACCGGAGGCTAACTTGTACATTTAAGCCAAACAGCTTGTTATGGCAGAGAAAGAATTTCTCCTCCTCAACACAACAATGCACCACTATGCAGATCTTTACCAAGGAAGCCTGTGCTTTGGGGATTTATTCTGAAACTACCAGTAACAGCCACTTCAAAAAGCTGGAATGGTGGTTGGATCAGCATGGCAACACCAGTGTTCCTGAACACCCCAGAATAACTACTTAAAACAGTGGAACCTGTTGAAAACAAAAGGTAGTTAATGGATGCAACTGTTATTCTCTGTGCCCCTATGCTTTTAATCTGCCTAACTATTATTAATTGCACCAAGTTTGCTTGGCTGCCAAAAATCATGGAGAAACGATGGTTGAGCTAAATGCTGGTGAAAGAGGTTGTCAGGAGATCCTTATAAAAACCAGTGTAGGCTGCATATGATATTAGGGCTGGTTTTACTCCTGCCCTCTGACTCTAAATACCTGTGTAATTTCTAGAAAGACTGATGCCCCAAAACTGAAGCTGCTGCCTCCAAAAAAAGAGCATCAGTAAGTCAAGAGAAGCTGCACAAGAAGAAAAAGGAGGGCTTTTGCAGCATAAGAAAGACCATCAGGAGACTTTTGTCCTGTTAAACGCATGATTAAAACCAAAGGCAGACTATAGCTATCCCAGGACATGCACAGTACATAGCAAACATTTGGTTAAAAACTGCTGGATATGTGGGGAGAATCCTGTCCTCACTGCCAAAGTCAGCTACCCTGGAAGACAGAATTCCTTTGCATGGGTTCAGCCACTGCCTTGACAGAGTAATGACAACCAGCTTTGGGGGAATCCCACACACACATCTAAAATCAGTTTGATCACCACAGTATTCATAGCCTTAGGCCACATTCCCATGCATTCAGTAGCGAGCAACTAAACAGGTTTTAAAGAGGTACAGAAAAACTGCTTAGGGAAAGCTCTGCCAGGAAAAGGGTGGTTTTCCAGTTACTTGCAGACAAGCTCAGGAGTGAAGATATTCAGGCAGAAGTTTGCATTCTGCATTTCTCCCCCTTATTCCCCAAATAACCTGTCCTTCACTGAGCATGGCTTCTCACAGAGCCAACTTCCAGCCCAGCACCTCAGGAGACAAGTGGAATCTGTTGGCAGAGGAGGAGCTGGGTCCTGCAAACAGGCAGCATGGCAGAGCAGGGCTAGCAGAAAGCAGGCAGGCTGCGGGAAGCCATCAGAAGAGCAGTGTGCTCATGTGCCCACTGCAGTGCTGCGTGATCAGGCACTGTCTAGGCAGCTCAGTTTGCTGGGCTGGTGAATGGCAAGAAAAGGTACAGGCAGGAGGTAGGGCAGGGGTAGGAGCTGTTTGCTGAGAAATAGCAGACTGGGAAGAGACACAACAAACACAAAACACTTGGGATGTCATAAACTGGTCGGGAAGATCTTGTGTAAATCTAGGCTTACAGGCCAACTAATGATTTGTGATTTTGGGGGTTTTTAAGCAAGATACAGAACTCGCAAGGCACCATGACATCTGGGATGCTGTAAACAGGGTTTTATAATGGAAATCAATCCTAAACAGGCCTGATAAATTGCTGTAAGAGGCCAGCTTTTAAAAGTTTTCATATGAGGTCTCAGCCTGGACCAAGTTATTACATTAAATCCAGCTTAGAAAGGACTGGTCGTAAAAACATACAAGCCAGAACCACGTATCTCCAAAAAGGCAAGTCAGATGTTAAAGCTGCTTTTTTCTGCTCATGAAATACAGTTTAGTAAGTCATTCATTCAAGTGAGGATTTTTATTTCTGCACTTTGGAGAAAAAGACCAAGTGTGAGAAACATCAGAATCTGAGGTGACTTACTACACATACCAGGAAATGCATTTTGTTGATGGGGTGAGGGGGTTGTTTACTGTTTCTAGATGCTTTTCCAACATCCACCCCCTTCCCTACAGTAAGTGCCAAAATGACTTCCCCTTCCAAATAATCTTTCTACAACAGTGAAATCTTGCATTCTTCTTTCCTCTCAAAGCCATTACGGATCCTCCCTCAAAAAACATCCAAAAGCAGGAAAATCACTGCTGCTGTCAGCCCTTATTTTGAAATTTCTAGTTACCGCAAAGCATCAAGTTACCTTCTTTTCCTTTAAGCTGAGCATCCCATTTTAAGAGCAAGCAGAGTACCATTTTGCATTCATTACCTTTATAGGTGGCAAGGCTAAGAGGCTGGCTAAACAAAGACCAGACAAAGACTGCCAAGTGCATATGGTGGTTCACAGCTTGGCGTCTTACCATTCTCCAGCACCAACACAGCAGACTATTAAAGAGGAGCGCTGCTCATGCACTTTTGTCAGCAAGTAAGTTACGCTTGGTGAAGACAGAATGACTCAAAAGCATTACACTTAAGAAAAAGCACAGATGCTTATAACTCCCGCTCCTTTCTCAGGAACAGGAAACCTATCAATCCAGGTGCAGGTACAAGACTCTGAATATTTCAGGACTAACTGTAGCTAGCTGCACCGAAGTGAATTTCACTTGATAGGGCATCACTCTGCCATGGTCATGGGAAAAGCATAACGTAATTGACTGAAACGGTACATCTATATATTCCTCCTTGCTGAACAAGGTGGGAGGAGGGATAAACACGTGCGAGGTCAGAATAAGGTTTGCTTCAGCAGGACTTCAGTGATGCTCTCGGCCACACAAGAGGAAGACAAAGGGAGGCACCGCTCTCAGCACCCTCTCGTGGTTACTGAAACACATGTCCCGGGCACAGACCTGGAAAGAAGCATTTGGTATCCAGACGGTAAGATGGGTGTACTCACTGGGAATATTAAAGATCTGCAGCAACTGTACTTGACACGTAGTAGAGGAATGATGGAATTTGTTAAGGTGAAAGAAGTGAAGAAAACCAGTGCATACAGAGAGCTGAAAAGCCATACAAACTCCCTTCCATCAGGGAAAATGTTTAAATCCTGCAGGCAAGCCTTCCTTCATAGACTAGAGCCAGACTCACCAAAAGTGCTGGCACTCGCATGCAGGGGTCCCTCCTTTTGAACCAGCACAAGCAAGATAGATGTGAAGTGCTTAAGTCTCCAAAGCACAAACAGATCAATCTTGGTGAGATAAATACTGTGTGTTTCCCCCATTTCCACAAACAAGTAAAATATTTATTTGCCCAAGGTCACACAATGACAGTGGAAGTGCTGGGAAGAGAAGCCAGGAAACCCAAGGTCACAGTTCTTGTAACCTTTAAAATTTCCCTCAAGCAGGAGATTCCTGTAAAGGGGCTCTGCCCTCCGTAGCTGATTTTTCCTAAAATGGCTACTGTCTGTAACGAGATCCTTTTAAATGTGATTTTCATTCAAAACTTCAGCCTGTAATTAACAGAATATAACTCCATGGCAGGTTGTCTTAAAGACCACTACGAAATTATTACTATTTAACTCTCCCCATGAAGCCTCCTCCACCACTAAATACAACATGCTACGACGCATACCAAATCCCTAGACTGAAGCGTTTGACAGGAGATGACATGCAGTATTTTGCGTACACAGCCCAGCAAAACACTGCTGGGGATGAGATATAATACACGGAGAAATGCACTCCCAGGGACTACCAATTGGGCAGAGCTACCTTTAGTGCTGCCTCACTCGTGGTGGTGGAAATCAAACCCCTGCCAACTGGGGGAGGTTTTCTTTGGTGCTGTTCTGCCCTGTACTAATTATAAGAGAGTACAGACGCAGCCTTATTCCAAGTGTGGGGAGGTGGGGGTGGGGGAGAAGCGTGTGTCTGAGCGAAGAGCACAACTATTTTTTATGCTTTCAAATTCTTAATCCTGTTTGGAGCTGTCAGTGGGGGTTAATGGAAGCCTTGGATAGGAGAATTCCAATCTGGTTGGCAGATGGATAGGTTGGTTATAGCTGCATAACTATGTCTTGCCTGCAGGCACAATTCAGAACACTGTTAAAGCAATATAAAGTCTCTGTCAAGCTGAACCATTTGGATCAGTAGCAAGGAGAAATAATAATAAAAAAAGGAGTTCATTTCTGGGCCTTGCGCGTTTATGCTAGTATGCAGAAACTGATTAATTGTCATCATGTGCTGGTCTGCTATACCTTGGATTTCTACTTCTGGAGTAGATTTTGCATGCTAATATAATCATTCTCCCTCTTGAGACATTAGCAAATAATCAAATGAAAAACAGGATCATAATTTACTGAGATTCGGGCAATTCTCTATGCAAATTTGACTTGTTATTGCTGCTGCCTCGTTAATCTGAATGCCTTTGACAAACTCCTTTGATTTATGAACTCATGACAACTCCAATGTGTATATATTTTGCTAGATTGACATTATCATTAAGAGTGGGTGGACTGAGCTCACATGAATGGCTGATTTTATTCGCTGGTGTCTGCTGCTCAACAGCTGAGCATCTCCTTCTCACAAAGCCCCTGAGCACCAGGCTCTTCCCATCTACCCATCCATTCATCATCTCGATGTTAATTGGCCCAGGCTTTAAGCAAATTTTCAACACGATTTAAAGGCACGATGACACTGATTACTGACCCTCTGCCATACGGTGCCTATTGATTAACCTGACAGAGATGATGAGCTTGAGGGAAACTAGGTGCGTGTGGACCTCAGGGGCGGGGGTGTGGTGGTGGTGGTAGTGGAAATAATATTGTTTATGCAGGCAAAACACTTGTCATTATCCCAAAGGCCAGAATTTGTGCTGCACTGGCCCTTAAAACACACTATTGCTTTAAACACCTGCATCCAATACAGAAAATGCTTGCTTGCTGTGGAAAAATGATTACAAATTTGATGTCATGTGCAGTCTGTATTTTAATCGAGTTTCCTGATAAATATAGCCCCTCAAGCCAATCAAGTCTCGCTCTAGCCATTGCGT